TAAAGGTTTTTCTTTTTTTTTTTTTTACCCACAGCTCCATATTCCTAACTAATAAACATTCCTAGAGTTTTTTATTTTTATTTTTTTATCCACAATTCCATATTCCTAGTTCCTAGAGTTCTATACTGAACAAAATGAATGTATAAACAAGAAATTTGCCAACCACAATTGTGAGCAACCACTACAATTTCATTGAGAAGAAAGGTGACCATTGAAAGTTTAAAATTTAAATTTGACAATTCTAATTCTCAATTCACTCATTATACTAGTTCAATAAACATAAATATAAACAAAAAAGTTCAGAGATTAAAGGTGCATTCATCAATAGATTAACAATTTTGGAGTTGCAATGGATAAACTCAAGAATATTGATAACAGCAACGAAGTCTCATGCCTCATAAACAGAGCAAGATTCCAAAATTAGGAAACCCTATGTTGGGTTGGTCCTAAAATTGTGAAATTCACTTTTATTCAAACACAAACTATAAAGAAAATCCTCCCTCAACAAATTCCACAACAACTCACCCAAAAAAAAAAAAAATCAACATTCAACAGTAATTATATTACAGAATCAATTAAACCAAACTTAAATGCATGTAAAGATCAGAATAAATGTTAAAAAAAAAAAAAAAAACACCCATGTTTCAGTGATTTTTCATTGATTCTCACATCAAAATAGAGATACAGTGATTAGAAATCCCTAATGACCTGGACCAGAGGAAGGACACCCAAAATTTTCTTTTCAGTGCCGGACCTCCTATTCTTAATCTTTTTTTTTTTTTTCAGATTTTTTCTCTCTTTTTTCTTGCTGATATCGGCTCATTTTCTACCTTCCATTTATTCTTACCATTGCTTTTCTCTTCCCTCATCCCTGGCCATTCGATGGTAACAGACAAAATAAAATTTTAAAAAAAAAAAAATGCCCCGCGTGGTGCACGATCCTCCTTTCCGTTGGCGGGGTTGAAGTTCGCTGGGCCCCTGGAGTCCTGGACCTGTGCCCGTGAAACGGAGGTAGGGATAAGTATTGGACACGGATGTTCATGTTACTTGTAAGTATTTTGATTGTTTGGTTAAATATTATATTTAAATTATAAAAAAATAATTGTTAAGAAAATAGTATATTTATAATTATAAATAATAAATTAAATAACAAAAATAGAAGTTTAAAATTATTTATTCAATTTATTTAATTGATTTATTTAATTTACTTATTATCTATATTTATATAATTAAAATTTTATATATTATTATATTTAATATTTATATAATAATAAAAAATTTTAAAAAATATATATATAAAATAAAAATTAAGAAACATTTATAAGTTGAACGAATCAAACAAACAATAATAATAATTCATATAAATAATAAATTTGAAATCATATACATAATACATGTATTAATAACATTTTATGTTAAATTTTTTGTTTATATAAGTATATATTTACAAATAACATTTTTAAAGAAGTGATTCAATAATTATAAGTCTAAACTTTTAAATTTAAATATTAAATTAGGTAAAAATAGATTTAAAAAAAAAAAAAAAAAAAAAAGGGGGGAAAGGTTATACTTTCAACGGAGGCGAAGAAAGAGGGGTGGCGGAGTCGGGGAGATCAATACCCGATTCTGCCTGTTTTCTAAATTTGGGGCTAGAGGGCGTCTTTGTGTTTTTTTAACGACGGTTAAATGGTGGGCCTGAGTGGGAAAAAAAACGGTTGGATTTGGGTCGAGTGTGGTGGGTACAGACGAGCGTAGGGTAAATTTTATGGGCCCTGGTCCGCCACTTTTTTCATTCCTTTGCTCCTTTAACCCAATACCAAATTATAATTCCGGTCCTCTCCCCCTTTTCTTTGTGCATTTGAGTCCATTTTTCCTTTTTCATGATCGAGCACTTGGAACGTAGAGAATAAAGATAATTAAAATAATTTTTAAATAAATTTTTATTTATTTATTATGTAGGAAAAAATATGATTTTAACAAAAATTTA